TGTTCGGGACGCCCTCTTTTTTTAGTATATAAGCCCCGCAAATAAAAGAAGAGAGAGATATGCAGATTGGTTGAAGGCAGAGATAACTGAGTCAAGCGAACAGTAAGCACCGTAAGTAAAGTGTGTGAATCACTGTGATTTATAGCGTGTGTTATAAAATTTGTTAAGTGTATTACAAAGTTGTATCGAGAAAGAATAAACTAGTTTTAATTAAAAAAGGACTTGTATCGCTGAAGTTCATCGGAAAGAATTTATACCGGAAATTAACAAACGAGTAGCAACGTAACAATAGTCTAATTTGTGTTATAAAGTATTCTATGATTGGGTAGATTCTTTGGATTATTTGGTGAAAATAATATCAGTTTCAGTCCGTGTAAAGATAACTAGTTAATTTATTTCTTCAATAAACATTTTCTACAGTCACATTCACTTTTAGGCTTAATTTCATAAATATATTATGGCATAAATCAGTAACTAAATATAAGCCTAGCTTCAAATACAATGTTTCAATATAAACTAAAAGATGTACGCCTAACTTATATAAGTTTGATGGATAAACAAACACATAATTCACCAAAAATAGACATGATTATTATTCTTAACTTTGTTTAACGCAAGTTGGAGTTTATTAGAGACATTTCTATAAACGTAAATATAATCACGACATATATCGCCAGGATGTATTCTTATTAGCTCAATATTTCGCTTTTAAAGCTTCATCAGGAGCTATCGATATCCAACAAGTTCACCAATCTAGTTGAATCTCAACTAGTTTAGTGAACTTGTAGGATATAGATAGCTCCTAGGGCAAATGCAAAAGTGAAATATTATTCTAAGAAATATACATTCTGGAAATATAGGTCGTGATTTTATTTAGCCTAATAGACGCGATAATAAACATTGAATAATTTTTCTGACATTGAACAAGCTTTTGGTTAACAGACAACTCATTGAATACTTCACAGATTTCTCACTGTCTTTTCATTCATTACTCACTAACTGATTACTCTTTTTCAGATTCTGCCTGAAAATATTAGATTATTGATGTCATCGAAATGACGAATTCTTCGTAGCAAGCATCTGAATTAAAACATTAAAAATATAGCTTCCAACAATAGAGTAAGCAGTCTGAGAAAATATATTGAGATTCCAGTAAAACAAGGGTATATCATTTTGTTACATACACTGTGTTTTTGTTAAGTCTGTTTTAATAAAAAGGTTATTCATTTCATATTTCAATTTGTGTTGAGTTTCCTTGTTTCATACTTAGAAACGTAATTATTGGAGATTCGGTATTTTTCTCTGATGAATATCACGTTGAATCTCCTGTCAAGTGGATCTATTCAGCTCCTATAATGATAATGTGATTCAACCTGAATATATCATAGAGTAGATAGGAAGTATAAAATGATAGTTCCGTGAGAACAGGTTGTGAGCTTGCTCTTTCTGCTGAAATATGTAAAGCCCTGTACTTGAACTATTGTGCTATTTAATTTTAAAAAGCGTCTTAGTTATTGAAATTACATTTTACACAATTAGAAAAACTTATGACCAAGAGGGAAAATAAACCACTAAAGGAAGACAGTTGTAAGAAGGTGTTATTGAATCTAGGAAAAAGCTCCCTCCTAGAAGATGAATTTTGACTGCTGCTAAAAAAACTCATAATTTCCAGCTTCTTTCAACCAATGATTCAGAAAGGAGAACTGCCAAGGCCTCTTTGAATCCAAAATGTCCTTCCTCACCAGAGTTACCCAACTAAAGCTCTAGTTAAAGTCATCAAAGAACAATCGAGGTGAGATTGGAGGCACTGTTTCAAAATTAGTGAATCAAATGGTGAGTCTCTGAGTCAGAATGAAATGCCGAGGCAACTATGGATCACAGAAGAGCCTGAGGTCATGCAGAGCTGATAAATGAGCTACCAATGGCACACCATTGCTCTGCCACCCTAGAACAAGTATTGACCACTCAGGCGACAGTTGGAGTCTCTAAGAGTGCCTACAATGCTGTATTAGTAACATCCAGAACATATAGTTAAGATAATGGCTAGGAAATCATAAGAGAGAGATTTTTGCCATCATCGTGGTTCCCAATGAGCAGGGTAAAACAGATCACTTCTAATATTCAAGGGTACATCACCCTTTGGACAGGCCCTTTCTGGAAGTATTTCTGACAGATAACTGCCTGGAATGGCTACACCCCAGATCAAGCTGTGATATGCCTAATATTGAATCTAGATTGTTGGTCCCTATAATCCATCGAACACTCGAATGAGGAACAACTATGGAACTGTGAGACAGCCATTGCTGAGTTGTAGTAAAATTTGGAATGATGGAAAACAGAGTAATTAATTTGGTTCAGTTCAGAACTTGGAAAACTGGTACTGCAGAGAGCTTGACCACTTAGAGAAATGATCTGTACTAATTGCACAGTAAAGCGTAACCTGCAATTGCCTCAACAGACCATGACAATATGCTCATAGACAAGGTAATCTAAAGACTATCCAATGAAATTATGCATCTTAGTGTGAGAAACTTCCTCACTCTTATGGATGCAGTTAACAGGTCAATATGAATTGATAACTATGCATCAGTCACAAGAGAGAAGAAAGTCTGGAGTGACAACTAAATTGACTTCATCTCAGACAGACCATTCTATGCAGGTACACATGTTGTACCAGGTGTGAGCCCAGCTGAGAGTTCACCAACCAACCACACATTTCAGAGTTGCAATGTGCAATGCAACCATATTGGTAGTCAGTGAAATGGCAGGGATATTGCAGCTCTCCCATAGTTAGAAGCTGCAACCTATGCCACTGATGCTACCAGCTGGACATCGTCCTAGAAAGGAGGAATGAAGTAAGTGCTTTGTCTGTAGTGCATTGTGGCACTCTCAAGAAAATCAAAAACAGGAGATGAACACTGCTGCTCCAGGCTGGAAAACTAAAATATCATAAGTTGCGCCTGGCTACTGATTTGGGCAACTGCAATGAACAACTTGCTTCCAAAAGTGTGGTGGTCAGCCCAGCTTTTTCAGGTCTGTCTGGTGTATGGCTTTAGGAATATAAGGGTGAAGGGTAGAGTTCCTGGTTGACCTACAGAAGCCATAATATTGTAAATCTTTCAGTAAATAAGGCACTATAACTGTACTCATCACTCATGCCAATAGATAAAAACTTTATTCTTGTGAATGAAAATGACCTAGACACAAATGAAGGGTTCACTTAAAGAACAATGGTAGCAATCAGTAACCTCAGTTTTGGCATCTGCATAATTGGAATGGACATACTGCAAATATTATCAGTCAGCTTTGCCTGTGCAATGGTGAAGGGTTGTTCCCTTGGAGAGCCATTCTTTGTTGACCATATATATTGACCCCAGGAACTGTAGATTGCATATATACAAGTGAGGTTCTGTGGTTTACTATAAACATTAACTAGTGCTTTTCTGCCATGTAAATGGAGTTATAGAGCACACATTGTTCAGAAAGCATGCAGTATTGTCTTGGGTACTTATTTGTCCGAGGGTACATAAAGTCCTGTTGTTGCTGTGTAGTTCTGGATAATGGGTTATCTATATGCATGTTGTAATGGTCATAATCATGTTACGTGAAGAGCAAATTACCAATTCTAGTGGTATTATTAAGGATTTCTCATTATACCACATCAAAAAGTAAATACACTGTTATCAATATATATATTAGATAGCAAGATAAAGATTGTATTGAAAATCGAAATTCACAGAGACAGTAGCTCAGTAATTTGTTGGCAGAATATACCAATGTACTTACGTGATCAGATGGCCAATTGGGTTGAACATCACATATATAATTAGGACATACATTCAGTTAAACAACTACCATGCAGGCTTCTCTGAAGCACTAGGGATGTAGCCATTACTAAAGTACAGCAGATGGTAATCTACATTAA